TATTACGCAGAGAGAGTGCACCCATGAATATTTGTCTGATAGTGCATATGTGGTGAATGCAGTTCAGATGCTCGCTACACAGTGCCTTATTCTTAAATCCTCCTCAGTCTATTCTTATCTAAGTGAAATTCAGGGGTTATTAAATCAAAGAGAGCATGCTATTTACATAGGCCACATAAGAGCTCATTCTAATTTACCTGGCCCACTTACTCGAGGAAACATGATGGCAGATCACTATTCAAGATTCTTGCTTGCATGCACCGCTTTGGAACAAGCTAAAGAATATCACTCTAAATGGCATGTTAACACCCACACTTTAAGTTTTAAATTTAATATTCCCCGCAAGCAAGCAGAAGATATCATTAGATCCTGTGAAAAGTGCGTTGTTACCATAGTTCCAAAGATTCCTGCGGGAGCCAATCCCCGTGGCCTTAAACCAGGACATATCTGGCAGATGGACGTTACACATATCCCCTCTTTTGGGCGACAAAGCTGTGTTCACGTCACTGTAGATACATACTCAGGTGTAATTATGGCCACAGCCATGAATAAAGAAGGAGTACAACAAGTAATCCAACACTGCTTGCAGGCTTTTGCAGCCTGGGGAGTTCCTCATGTGATCAAAACGGATAACGGCCCAGCGTATACATCAAAGCGTTTTGCTGCATTTTTGAAAGAATTCGGAATCTCCCATATTACCGGTATTCCATACAATCCACAAGGGCAAGCTGTGGTAGAACGCGCTCACTTATATTTAAAAAATTTAATAATTAAACAAAAAGGGGGAATAGGGGAAATGGCCACATCCAACAAGGATGTCTTGGCCCTAGCTCTTTATACAATTAATTTTTTGAACAAGAAAAAGAACGGTAAAACACCTGCAGAAATGCATACTCAATCAGTTGATAAGGAATCAATACAGTGGGTAATGTGGAAGGATTTACAGGACAACCAATGGAAAGGCCCGTTCCCCTTACTCAGAAGAGTACGAGGCGCCGTTTGTTTTTTTCCACAGGGTGCGGCACAACCAATATGGACCCCTGAGAGAAGAATTCGGTTGATAAACCTGCCAGCAGAAGATCTAGAAGAAGAAAACTCCATTTGAGGAAGAAAACAATGAATAACCAATCCCCGGGATCTTTGGAATACGGGACATTTTTCAACAAACTCTGAAGTAGCACGACAAACAAGAGTCAATAGCATGAAGATCACACTGAACTTTACACAGGCGCGTATCAACGCCAAAAAATAAAAAGGGGGATCTGTGGGGAGCAATTCGGACTATACTGTTACTGGAATTAAGATTTATTCTATGCATCTGCTCTCCCACAATATGGCGCTGGGAGAGAAGTAAACAGCTTCTACCCAGCTGCCTCTCACCAACTTGACAAGCTGCAGGAGCTGCTCCTGATTGGAGGAGAGCGGCGTGCTCGGCGTGTGGGCAGCCGAGTTGGGATTGGTGGAGAGGACTATATAGGAGGAGAGAGACGGCATGGTGGGGTGGGTTGGTTGGAGAGTGCGTTGGAGAGTTCGCGGGGAAGTTCGTTACTTCGTTCTTTCTCATTTCTCTCTACTCATTCTTGCTTTGGGAGTTTGCTGTTTACTTATTCTTACTTTACTATAGAAAGGACTTGTAAAGAAAGGGAACAACAAGCGCCCGGTCCGGTGCGGCTCCTCCGCGTGCGGAGGAGCAGCACACTCCTAGATATTTATCCAAGAGAAATGAAAACATGTCCAGACAAAAATGTGTACATGAAGATTCATGACAGCATCATTCCTAATAATCAAAAATGTGAGAACTCAAATATCCATCAACTGATATTATAAATGTAAATATAAACATAAATATTTATATATAAATATATTATAAATGAAAATATACAACAGTATATCCATAAAAGAATATTATCTGTCAATAAAAAGTACTGATCCATGCTACAATGTACATGAACCTTAAAAACACTGTGTTTGGGCTGGCACTGTGACACAGTGGGTAAAGCTGCCGCCTGCAGGGCATCCATATGGCATGCCAGTTCAAGTCCTGCCTGCTCCACTTCTGATCCAACTCTCTGCTATGGCCTGGGAAAGCAGTAGAAGATGGCCCAAGTCTTTGGGCCCCTGCACCCACGTGAGAGGCCAGGAAGAAGCTCCTGGCTGCGGATCAGTGCTGCTCCAGCTGTTGTGGCCAATTGGGGAGTGAACCAATGGATGAAAGACCTCTCTTTCTGTCTCTCCTCTCTCTGTGTAACTCCAACTTTCAAATAAATAAATAAATCTTTAAACAAACAAACAAAAAAAAACCACTGTGTTAAGTGAGAGGGGCAGGCACTGTGGTGCAGCAGGTTACATCACACCTGCAATACCAGCATCCCATATGAGCACAGGTAAGAGTCCTATCTGCTCCACTTCTGATCTAGCTTCCTGCTAATGCACTTGGGACAGCAGCAGAGAATGGCCCGAGTAGTTGGGCCCCTGCCCCCCACAAAGGAGACCTGTATGGAGTTCCAGGCTCTTGGCTTTAGCACAGCCCAACCCTGGCCATTATAGCCATTTGGAGAATGAACCAGCAGACATTTGGGGAATGAATGAATGGATAGAAGATCTCTCTCTCTTTCTCTCTCTCCCCTTCTCTCAATCTCTTTCTCCTTGACTTTCAAATAGATAAATATTTTAAAAATAAAATCTAAATCTAAAATCCTTATTAGGATGTATATGGCCTGATCGGGCCCCTTCTTACCTCTCTAACCTTTTATAATTGCCCTTACATCCTTAGTGATTCTACTGCAGCCCTGCTGATCATGTTCAATTCTAACTCTGACCTTTTCATATACGGCTCCCACCGCTTTGAATGTTTTCCCAAGATCTTCACAGTAGGCCATTCTCATCAATCCAGTCTCTTCTCAAATGTTACCCCCTCAGAGAGGTCTAATGGTTATCTTATCAGCATACTTTGTTTTCTTTATATATCTATTTTATTATCAATTATTTATCATCATCCCCCTGAGCACCACAACTACCAGAATGTAAATTCCTTTGTATTATTCACTGTTTCTCTATTAACTACAGCAGTGCCTGGCATATAGTAGGTAATCAATAAATATTTGCTGCAATTATCTGTAAAAAATAATTGGCCAAATAACCATGAAAATTCTTGACATGTCTCTTTCCCTGTTTTTCATGATCCACTTAAATATTTTTTTCTGTTTATGTAACTCTCCTCTTGACAGACACCATGTCCTACACTTTTGCAAGTGTTCAACAAGCCCTAGGACAAAAATTTGTATAAATTTCTGGGTCCAAAAAAATCAATTTATTTTACTCTGTTGATAGCAGTTGTCTTTAAAATACTTTCCAAATTTATAGTATCAAGTAGCCATGGTACTTCTGAAAGGATGAATCACAACATAGACAGCATACTTACTTCTGGCATCTGTTTTATCCAACTCACTGAGACATAAGTCATCCTTGGCATCAGTGCTTCCCTCAACACCATGTCTTATAAAAAACTTCATATCATTTTCATCAATTTCATCTCCATCATCAATATCATATTTCTGTAGCCCCTCTAACAACTTCACTGCTGCCAAATGAGCAAACCTATAGAAAAAGATCAGCAATTAACCAGAACCAGAACCTTACTCAAAATTAAACTGCAGTTTGTACTTAACATAGGGAATTATACACTGCATATTGTGCCACCAACCCACCCATCAGTAAGAAGCAAATCTGTGGGGGCCAGCGCTGTGGCACAGCGGGTTAAAGGCCTGGCCTGAAGTGCCGGCATCCCATATAAGCACCAGTTCTAGTCCCAGCTGTTCCTCTTCCTATCCAGCTCTCTGTTACGGTCTGGGAAAGCAGTAGAAGATGGCCCAAGTCCTTGGGCCCCTGCACCCGCGTGGGAGACCCAGAAGAAGTTTCTGGCTCCTGACTTCAGATCGGCGCAGCTCCGGCCGTTGTGGCCATCTTGGGAGTGAACCAGCGGATGGAAGACCACTCTCTCTTGTCTCTACCTCTCTCTGTAACTCTGTCTTTCAAATAAATAAAGTTAAAAAAAAAAAAAGGAAGCAAATCTGTAATCTGAAGGTCAGTGACAATTTGACATATATTCAACTACATGGAAAAGTCAGTTTACTGAACACTAAGGACTGATTCCATAACTTTTATTGGCAGAAATCCACTGTGAAAAGAGATCCAATAACAAAAGACTATTTAGTGTGCTTCCAAATAGTGCTGCTCAACTGCATAAAAAGCTCAGAATCACCCTACTTGCATCCCTATATTCACTGCCTTTTGTTGGCCTAATTTAGATGAACATAAAATTAATGATGGTTGCAGTTCTAGAGCTAACTATAAATAGCTGTACTCCCTTTATCTTCATCTTTCCTCAACGCAAAGCACTGGCATGGCTTTGAAATTTAATGGAGACATTTTTTTAAAATTTTCCACATTTTTTTAAAATTTTCTTTGCTTTTTCACGTATTTCTATGAAACTTCCAATAATATGCTCTTTGCTATGGAATTATTGTTGTGGCTGCATGAGATCTACATATTTTCCCACAATTTTGCTAACCAGAATTTTAATTTTTAATATTTAGTGTTAATGTTTTTTTTAGGACATTTAGAACTAATAGCTAAACACAAAAAACTCAAATCCTATTTTCCCCCACACTTACAAAACCACACACTCATACTTACAGTCTTACCTTTTATTAGATAATGCAAATCATTAGAGATATAGTAATAAAAATACATAGTAAGTTTTAAGGTTAAGAGAATTCTCCATTACTAAGGTATAATTGATCAGTTTTCACTTACTGAGTGCTTGCTTTATACCAAATTCAAGGTTATATCTATAATAACACTAAACATCTAGCATTTTGGTGCATATATGAGAAAAAATGTGGGCCAAATATCATGAATAATTCCAGATAAACTCATGGTACTCAGTCACTCCTGTGACAAGGGAGTAAAAATAAATAGATAAATAAACAAAATAGAAAGTTCAGAAATAAGCCCACAATTACATATAGACAATTAATTTTGACAAAAGCAATATTAGAACAAATGGTGCCAGAACAACTGGATTTCCATATGTAAAACAGAATATGGATACAAACCTGTACCACATTCAAAAATAACAGATCACAGACCTCAACATAAAATCCAAAGCTATACAACTGCTAGGGAAGGGACAATGGGGAGCAGCGGGAAGGAGACCATAAAATGGCAGAAGGAAACTTGGAAGTGATAAATATGCTCACTACCTTCACTGTGGTGATGGCTTTACAGGTGTCTATGACTAGAGTACTTCAAAAACTGAGTTTATTTTTGTAAAAAAATTTTGAAATCTATGCAGTTTTTCTGTAATATGAGTTTTCCTGTGGCTGGTTTTGTGGCTTAACAAGTAAAGCTACCCCTCCAACACTGGTATCCCATATGGTCACCAATTATCTCCCAGCTACTCTACTTCCAAACCAGACCCCTGCTAATGGCCTGAAAAAAGCAGCAGAAGGTAGCCCAAATGCCTGGGCTCCTGCCACACACTTGGGGAACCAGGATGAAGTTCCTGTATCCTGGTTTCAACCTGGCCCAGCCCAGTCACAGAGGTCATGTGGGGAGTCAACCAGCGGATGGAAGATATATCTCTCTCTCTCTCAAATAAAATAGGCCTGAATTAAATAATGGTACCAGGCATTTGGTATAATAAAACCAAACTCCAAGGCTCCAATGAAATCCCACAAACAAAATTTTAGGGAACATGGGCTCACAAACAAAACTGCATGACAATTTGATGAATTATTGGGCCTTAGCATTCTGTCAAGCCTTCTCTGCCACTTCTTTAGATTCAGGCAATTCTGAACTTCATATAGTTCCTCAAATATGCAAGGTGTTATATTTCCTCCTCTTTCAAGTGTCAGCATAAACGTTGCTTCTGCACAATAAAAGCTTTCCCTGACTTCTATATAAATTCTGTCCTCCTGATGTTTCCTTTAAGACTCTTCATATTTTTAAAAAATATTTCTTATGTATTTGAAAGACAAAGTTACAGGGCCGATGCTGTGGCATAATAGGCAATGCTGCCACCTGCAGCACTAGCATCCTTATAAGAACTGGTTCAAGTCCTGCCTGCTCCACTTCAGATCCAGCTCCCTGCCAATGCACCTGAGAAAGCAGCAGAAGATGGCTCAAGTCCTTGGGCCCCTGCACCCACATGGGAGATCCAGAAAAAGCTCCTGGCTTCAGATTGGCCTAGCTCCAGCAGCTCCAGCCATTGCAGCCATTTGGGGAGTGAACCACTGGATGGAAGACTTCTCTCTCTGTGTTTCTACCTCTCTTTCTGTAACTCTGTCTCAAAATAAATTAAAGAAATGAAGGAAGGTAGGTAGGTAGGGAGTGAGGGTGTGGGGAGGGGGAGAGAGAGAGGAAAGAGGAAAGAGGAAAGAGGAAAGAGGAAAGAGGAAAGAGGAAAGAGGAAAGAGGAAAGAGGAAGGAAGGAAGGAAGGAAGGAAGGAAGGGGAGGAGGGAGAGGGAGAGGCCAGCGCCGTGGCTCACTTGGCTAATCCCCCGCCTGCAGCGCCAGGCCCCCGGGGTTCTAGTCCTGGTCGCTCCTCTTCCAGTCCAGCTCTCTGCTGTGGCCCAGGAGGGCAGTGGAGGATGGCCCAAGTGCTTGGGCCCCTGCACTCGCATGGGAGACTGGAAGGAAGTGCCTGGCTCCTGGCTTTGGATTGGTGCAGGGCCAGCCTTGGCGGCCATTAGGGGAGTGAACCAATGGAAAGAAGACCTTTCTCTCTGTCTCTCTCTCACTGTCTATAACTCTCTCTTTCTCTTACTGTCTAACTCTGCCTGTCCAAAAATAAAAAAAAAAAGGAAGAGAGAGAGAGAGAGAGAGAAAGAGGTAGAGTTAGAGAGAGAAAGGAATTTTCTATCTGCTGGTTCACTCCTGGCCAAGAACCATTCTTCCAGGTCTCCCATTTGGGTGGCAGGGACCCAAACACTTTGGGCCATCTTCCACTGCTTTTCCAGGTCTTTAGCAGCTGGATCAGAAGTAGAGCAGCCAGGACTCAAAGCAGCACCCATACAGGATGCCGGCATCGCAGGCAGTGGCTTCACCCACTATACCACAACATGGGCCTGTCCTTCAGGACTCTTAACCATTAACATCTGTATCATTTCTCCCCCATTTTTTCAAATAAAAAGTGTTTGCAAGGCACTCTTTTCTCCTATGGTCTTACTGTTCCTTATATATATCATGCAATACAGTATGTGTGTATGTGTATATATATATATATATACACATATATATATTATAAGAGGTAAGAACTTTATTTGTATATTTATCTCTTCACTAGACTGTAAGCTCTGTAGGGACAGGAATTGTACCTTCTCATCTTTGTGTTCCTAACATTAACCACATTACCTGGAACATAGTAAACAGGAAGCTGGATGAAAGAGCTCTCAAATGGACAAACGATGGACTATATTCCTTGAGGATATGACCTGAAGGAGCTGGTGGTGTTTAATGGGTGCTACATTTATTTTAAATATAACTACCAAAATATATTTCAAAATCTATGTAATTTCTTTATCTGTTATTGAGGTGTATTATTCCTTTTTATCACACAGTATTTCTCAGAAGGGCATTACAAGCATTTGGGTGGGACAATCATTTTGTACCACTGTTCTAAGCACTGCAGAACATTTAGCATTTCTACATATAATCTCATTAAATGTTAGTAGTGAGTCTCCTTCAGACATTAACAACCACCCTTCACATTTCCAAATGCTCCACTTCCTAGGAAAATAAATGATCTACCTCCCAGTTGAGAACTCCTACTTTAGTGAGAGGAGCTGACACCCGCTTGGGAGACCAGGAGGAAGCACCTGGCTCCTGGCTTTGAATCGGCACAGCGCGCCGGCCGTAGTAGCCATTTGAGGGGTGAACCAACAGAAGAAAGACCTTTCTCTCTGTCTCTCTCTCTCACTGTCTAACTTTACCTGTAAGAAAAAAAAAAAAAAAAAAGAATGAGTCCCTTAAATTAAAATCCTTGAAGATTTCCAAGTACAGGAGAGTATAGGCAAAACTTCAAAGAGAAGGCAACAAAGCAGATAGGGATGCATACCTCTTAGCCACATCACTGGGTCTCTCCCCTGCTTTGTCAGTAATATTACCGTCTGCTCCCATTTTAATTAACCACTGCAAACATGCTATGTGGCCTTGTCCAGCAGCTGTTAAAAAATAATAAACAGGAAACACACAAAGTTGTTAGCAACAATTTACTAACATTTCAGATATTACCATTATAAAGTACTTCTTGTAAAAAGTATTGATCTTTGTAATAAATTACAAAGGTATGTTGGGCAAATGGTATTTCCTCTTTGTCATTTACTCATTCATTAAACAAACATTTAATCAGATATCTACTATGCTTAAACCCTACACAAAGATCTTACAGACAGATCTAAAAGTTTAAGTTCAAATGTGTTATTTAACATCACACAGTCAATTAAGCAATGGATTTGAAGTTAGAATCTCCAGTGCTGATCTCCTGTCATATTTAGCTCCTAACCGATCTTGAATCACACCAGAATGTAAGCACATCCCAACCATAGGGACCTACAGACTTAGAAAATCTTGTTCCGGGGCTGGCGCTGTGGCGCAGCTGGTTAAAGCCCCAGCCTGCAGCGACGGCATCCCATATGAGCACTGGTTCGAGTTCGGCTGCTCCTCTTCCAATCCAGCTCTCTGCGATGGCCTGAGAAAGCAGTAGAAGATGGCCCATGACCTTGGGCCCCTGCACCAAGGTGGGAGACCCAGAGGAAGCTCCTGGCTCCTCGCTTCCAATCAGCACAACTCTGGCCATTGCGGTCATTTGGGGAGTGAACCAGCAGAATGGAAGACCTCTCTCTCTGGCTCTACTTCTCTCTATAACTCCTCTTTCAAGTAAATAAAATAATTCTTTAAAAAGAAAGAAAATCTTGTTCCATCAGATCTGTATATGATTATACATGGATATAATATATTTACATACATACACAAAACACTTTTTACTTTTTTTATTCCTCTGAGTTTTACAACTCAAAATTTACAGGTATCTCAAATCACACTTAATTACATAAACTGTTTACAATTTTTGTCTAAATCTTGTCCTCAAAACACATGCATGCTATATTAATTTTCACTTCCACAACTTTGCTTATATATATATGTCTTCTAACCTACAGCACTCAACAATGTGCTCACTTATTCTACCTATTATGGTCCATCTCAAGCCTCAGAGAAATTGTGGAAAATAAGCTTAACAGACTTAAAAGGACTGAATTTAGAAGTTTACTCAACAATGAGACTTGAGAAGACCAGAACTGTGGTGCAGTGGCTTAAAGCCATGGACTGCAACACCAGCATCCATATGGGCACTAGTTCGTGTCCCAGCTGCTCCACTTCCAATCCAGCTCACTGCTAACGTACATGGGAAAGCAGCAGAGAATGGCCCAAGTCCTTGAGTCCCCACATCATGTGGGAGACCCAGAAGAAGCTCCTGGCTCCTGGCTTTGGATCAGCTCAGTTCTGGCTGTTGCAGTCGTTTGGAGAGTGAACCAGCAGATGGAAGACTGACCTCTCTCTCTCTCTGTCTCTGTCTCTCTTTGACTCTGTCTTTCAAATAAATAAAATAAATCCTTTTTAAAAAAATGAGATTTGACTTGGGAGACTGCCCTGTGAATATGTTTGGGCTAGGCTTCTGGAGGTTAAGAGATCAAATGTACAGATATAAGCAATCCCTGATTACCCACCTTAGACTAACCAGTCCCCAGTCACCTGGCAGCTGACAGCAAATGCATGAGAGATCCAAGCCAAGAGAGCCAACCCTGGCCCTGATCTGCCAGCCAACCAACTAGTCTAGCACAAATTACTGCCTCATGTAATCACAAGTTAAATTAATGGCTATTGTCTTAAACCACGAAATTTTAAGTTGTTAATCTACTACTCTTGCTCTAATCAGCCATTTTAGGTATTATGTTGACATTATGGTATAAGCCATGGTTGTCTTCCTGTTTCTCAGTGGATAAAGGCAAGGAAGATTTAGAAAAGGATGTAGGCTTTAATTTATTCAGCAAATACTGAGTGCCTAAAATGTGCCAGCCATGGTCCTAAGCAATGGAAATCAAGGGTGCTACAAAATATAAATAGTCCCTACTATCAAGGGGTTAACAGTGTTGAATAAATGGGACTTTTCATTTACAATGGAGGAAAGATATGAGTCACATAATCATCCTGAAGAATATTTAGCTGTAAACTGATATAGAGATCTTAAGTGAAAGCATAGTTTTTTAACAAGAGCAACAACAAAAAAGTAGACTGGGTCTTAAACTCTGATTGAATTAGTGGTGTTTGAGATCCTAAAAAGGGTAGGTTAGTCAGGGAAGAACGCTGGGATAGGGGCTTGTGGATGAAAGTCTCCAGTATGGTGAAGAAATAAATTTCCATTTTTAAGCTAAAAAAAAAATGAGATTTGAGAATAGGACAGAGATTTTTTTTTTTTTTTTTTTGACAGGCAGAGTGGATAGTGAGAGAGAGAGACAGAGAGAAAGGTCTTCCTTTTGCCGTTGGTTTACCCTCCAATGGCCGCCACGGCCGGTGCGCTGCGGCCGGCGCACTGCGCTGATCCGAAGCCAGGAGCCAGGTGCTTCTCCTGGTCTCCCATGGGGTACAGGGCCCAAGCACTTGGGCCATCCTCCACTGCCTTCCAGGGCCACAGCAGAGAGCTGGCCTGGAAGAGGGGCAACCGGGACAGAATCCGGCGCCCCGACCGGGACTAGAACCTGGTGTGCTGGCGCCACTAGGTGGAGGATTAGCCTATTGAGTCGAGGCGCCGGCCAGGACAGAGAATTTTATATCCAAAGAACTTGGCAAGCAATTGCACACACAGACCCTTAATAAATGCCTATAGAGCTGAATAAATGAATACATGCAAAACAAAATGAATGTCATCTCAGCTATGCTTTTAATTTGTCAAGGCACCTGATGTCTCTGAACCTCAAATCCCTCATCTTTACAGAGATAAATTTTTATGTATAAGGAAAGCACACTGCTGTTGCATAAGATTGGAATAAGAGTTACATGTGATGAGCTTTGTACTCTGTTAAGGATCACATAAACATAAGGCATTTATTAATACTAAATATTATAAAGTATTAATAATTAATAATTATTTTAAAAGAAATAATTGTTTTTTAAGATCATCTGGGAAGGCAGCAGAAGATAATCCAAGTATGTGGGTTCCAGCAACCCGCATGCAAGACCAGGATGAAGCTCCTGGCTCCTGATTTTGGCCTGGCTTAGTCCTAGCTATTGTGTCCATTTGGGAAGCAAACTACCATAGAGAAGAGTTCCATCTACTCTATGTGTGTATGTGTGTGTGTTTGTGTGTGTGTGTGTGTGTGTGTGTGTGTGACTCTGCTTATCAAATAAATCAACCTAAAAAAAAAGCCTTGCTGGGTATAGTAATCTTGGTTTTTTCCCTTCAGTACTATGTAAGTCTCATCCCACTCCCTCCTGTTCTGTAAAGTTCCTTCCAAGTAACCAACAATAAGTCTGCATATAAACAAATTGAAACACCAGTAAATGCTGCTCTTTTCTTTTCTCTTGCAGCTTTGAGAAGTCTATCTTTAACCTTGGAGAGCTTGAATTATGTATCTAGGGGTAGACTTGGCTGAGCTAAATCTATCTGGTGACCTCTAACCTTCCTAAACATAGGTAGTTGTATCATTTTCTATGTTTGGGAAGTTTTCTCTTATTATTTCTTGACTGTGCTTTCTATCCTTCTGGCCTTCTACAGTCCTTCTTGAACCCCAATATATTGGATATTTGCTCTTTTAATGTTGTCCCAAATATCCCATAAGCTTTTTTCAGTTCCTCTCCATTCTTTTTTTCCTTTGTGTATTTTCAAGTAGCCTGTCTTCAATTTCACCAATTCTTTCTTCTGTTTGATTCTTCTGCTATTGATGTCCTTCTATAACCACTGTTTGCTGTAGTTTCCAGTTGAAGTATTTCTGTTTAATTTTTTTAATTGTGTTCACTCCTCTGATAATGAATTGTTTCTCTGCTTTCCTGAATTTCATTGAGTTTTCTTAAAACAGATATTTTAAATTCTGCATCCAAGAATTTACATGTATCAGTTGCTAGGGCCAGCACTATGGCACAGTGGATTAAGCCACAGCTTGAGACATCATCATCCCATATTGGAGCACTGGTTCAAACCCCAGCTGCTCTGCTTCCAATCCAGCTGCCTGCTAGTGCACCTGGGAAGACAGCAGAGGATTGTCTGAGTGCTTTCACCCACGTGGGAGACCCAGGAGTTCCAGGCTCCTTGCTTTGGCCTGTACCAGCCCCAGCCCTTTGGGGAGTGAGTCAGCAGATGGAAGATCTCTCTCTGTCCCTCCCTCTCTGTAACTCTGTGTTCGGATAACTCTTTTAAAAATACATGTAATTTAGATGCTGTCAGTCCATATTTTGTCCATAGATCATGTTCCTGAATCATGTCCATAGATCATGATGGTTCCTGGCATAAAATGTCACCTGCACACTGAAAGATTAGGAATTTTTTTCAGTCCTTGTAAACTGGCTTTTTTGTACCTACCTTCCAGAAATTCTAAAGCAGAATGCTTATTTTCTAGGCACCTATGGACACTTAGACTATTTCAGCACTAGATGGCGTCTTAGGTCAAAACTGCTCCAAGTCTGATGTGTGTTGTTATTTCAGAATCCCAGGTTTCTCCTAAACTTGCAATTAGTGTGTTCTTGAGAATGAACTGCTAGAGACACTGTGTAAGCACTGTAGGATAGAGGCCCTTGGGCTTTATCTGGTGCTGGGTCTCACCAGAAGGTCTAGCATTAGGCCATACTCCACTGCTTCCCCAGGCACATTATGGGCCTCAAACCAGCACCCATATGGGTGCAGCAGGCCGAGGCTTTAACTGGCTGTGTCACAGGGCCCACCCCATCTTTCCATATTTAAAACTACTCAGTCTGTGGTATTTTGAATGTCAGCCTTAGTAAACTAATATAAGAGTTTTGCCCAAGGGAACCAAATTTAAAAAAAAAATTAATGTACATGATAAGCCTCTTCTCTATGTATAAATCCCAGTGGAGAACTTAATCCTTAAACAGCCAGCAGAAGTGAGACACTCCAAATCTAGGGTATGGAACTCACCAATTTGAGAACCTTTCTATGTGTGGGGAAAAAAACTCCCTTTTCATGCCCTCTCTTCCTACTTTATTCCCCCCTTATAAAACTACTGGTACACATGGCACTTAGATTCTATACTGGAGATACATTATGGATTGAATAATGATAAGCAATCATCTAAAAACCTAGCCAATAGCAACAAAATATGTGATTTGGGGACTGCAAAGAGTTGTTTATGAAATAAAGCCCATTTCAGGTAAAAAATTATAAAAGCAAGCCTACTACTGTCTCTGTACACTGAGTTATACAAGAATTGCCTGCCATCAGATCATGAAGAAGCTTTTAATATAATATCACAAATGAAGCAGAATGGAAATTTCAGGTGCAATAAAGATTTGGGCTTTGGTTTTAGAAACTAAAAAAAAAAAAAAAAAAAAAAAAAAACTGGCAAACATAATTCTTAGCACACTAATAGTGGGGAAAAAAAAAACAATGCAGGCATTATGGAGCAGTGGATCACTTGAGACACCCACATCCTATACTAGAGTACCTAGGATACAGCCCCACCTACACTTCCAATCCAGCTTCCTGCTAATGGGCACCCTGGGAGGCAGCAGATATTACCTCAAGTACTTCAGCCCCTGCCACCTCATAGGAGGCCCAGATGGAGTTCCAGGTTCCTAGCTTTCGCCTGGCCCAGCCCAGCCTGTTGTGAACATTTGAGGAATGAACCAGCAGAAGCAAAATACACATACCTACATCTCTCTCTCTTTCTCTTGGTCACATTCTTCTTTTAAAAAAATTAATTATTTATTTGAAAGGCAGAGTTGCAGAGAGAGATAAAGACAGGTCTTCCATCCACTGGTTCACTCCCCAAATGGCCGCAACTGCTGGAGCTGGGCTGATCCAAAGCTAGGAACCAGAAGCTTCCACTGGGTCTCTCCACACAGGAGCCCAAGGACTTGAGCCATCTTCCACTGCTTTCCCAGGCCATAGCAGAGAGCTGGATCAGAAGTGGAGCAGCTGGGACTTGAACTGGCACCCATATGGGATGCCGGTACTGCAGGCGGTGGCTTTTACCTGCTAAGCCACAGCGCCAGCCCCTCTTGTTCTCATTCTTGCTCTCACTCTTTCAAATAAATAAAAATAAACTTTAAAAAAAAACTAATATTATAGAATTACACACAAAAGGAAGAAGAATGCAGAGATCTTGAAAATGTGTTCAGATTTAATGTTCATCGATATTTCCATGGAGGTAGAAACACTTGTGTAGAATAGAAGGTCTAAAGAAGAAAATTCTGTAACTTTTTTTTGAAAAAGTATAGTTTATTTGAGAGACAGAGAGAAAGACAGAAAGAGTCCCCATCTGCTGCTTCACTCCTCAAATGCCCTTAAACCACTGTGGCTGGGGCTGGCTAAAGTCAGGAACTTGGAATTCAATCTAAGCCTTCCAGCTGGGTGGCAGGAATCCAATTACTTGATCCAATTATTGCTTGCTTCCCAAGGATCTGCATTAGCAGAACCAGAGATGAGTATCAAACCCCAGCACTCTAATTATGGAAGGTGAGCATCCTACCAGCAGCTTAACCATTGGGTAAAACACCTGCCCCTGCTATAACTTTTTTCAAGAGTTATGCCTTCTACTTCAGCATGAAATTATAGCTCATTTTAAAAATTTTTATCCTGGATCTGGTACTGTGGCATAGAGTGCAGTGCCAGCATCCCATATGGGCACTGGTTCAAGTCCCAGCTGCTCCACTTCCAATCTAGCTCTCTGCTATGGCCTGGGAAAACAGAAGATGGCCCAAGTCCTTGGGCCCCTGCACCCACATGGGAGACCCTGAAAAAGCTCCTGGCTTCTGGCTTCAGATCGGCTCAGCTCCGGTCCTTGTGGCCATCTGGGGAGTGAACCATCAGATGGAAGACCTCTCTCTCTCTCTCTCTCTCTAACTCTTTCAAATTAATAAGATAAATCTTTAAAAATAATCTTTTAAAAAATGTTTTTATCCTGGCCGGCGCCACAGCTCAATAGGCTAATCCTCCACCTTGTGGCGCCAGCACACCGGGTTCTGGTCCCGGTCGGGGCGCCGGATTCTGTCCCGGTTGCCCCCCTTCCAAGCCAGCTCTCTGCTGTGGCCCAGGAGTGCAGTGGAGGATGGCCCAAGTGCTTGGGCCCTGCACCCCATGGGAGACCAGGAGAAGTACCTGGCTCCTGCCATAGGATCAGCGCAGTGCACCGGCCGTGGTGGCCATTGGAGGGTGAGCCAACGGCAAAAGGAAGACCTTTCTCTCTGTCTCTCTCTCACTGTCCACTCTGCCTGTCCAAAAAAAAAAAAAGTTTTTATCCTAACAAACTTCTCTAACAGTGCACTTCACATTTTTACGAACTTGAGAGCGTCACAATAGAAATTCTACTGGAATTATGTTCAAATGTGATAAACAATATCTTCATTATAAAAGGAATATTACACTTGAACTGAAAATTAGATACTCTGGGGCCAGCATTGTAGCACAGTAGGTAGAGCTGCCTACAGTACCGGCATCCCATATGGGTGCCAGTTTGTATCCTGGCTGCTCCATTTCCTATTCAGCTCCCTGCTAATGGTCTGGGAAAAGCAGTAGAGGATGGCCCAAGTGTTAGGACCCCTGCCACCCATGTGGGAGACCTGGATAAAACTCCCGGCTCCTGTCTTCAACCCAGCCTGCCCAGGACTGGCCACTGCAGTCATCTGGAGAGTGATCTAGCAGAGGGAAGATTCTCTCTCTCTCTTCTCTATAACTCTTTCAAATAAATACATAAATCTTGTTTAAATTTTTTTAAAAAATAAAATTAAATACTCTGTATACCATATGCTGTGGACTGATATCTACAGGTACATTACACAAAAGTTTTTTATTTCTAGGTGAGAACTGAATATGAAGCAGAAATATCACTCACCTTTATGCATAGGAGTTGATCCATTATCATCACGCTCATTCAAATTGATTACTCCATCCTCTACTAATTTCTTAAGCATTTGCAAATCACCCTTAAAGGCAGCCACATGACCTGGAAATGCTAAAGCTGTGAATAAAAAAAAAATCACCATTTCAGCAAATACTTGTGTATCCTTTTCCAAGCCATAATATTTTTTAGTATTTATTTTATTTATTTGAAAGACACAGTTACAGAGAGAGGTAGAGACAGAGAGAGAGGTCTTCCATCACTGGTTCACTCCCCAAATGGCCAAAATGGCCGAGCTGAGCCAATCCAAAGCCAGGAGCCAGAAGCCTCTTCCGGGTCTCCCACATGGGTTCAAAGTCCCAAAGACTTCAGTCATCTTCTGCTGCTTTCCCTGGCACATTAGCAGGGAGCTGGATGAGAAGTAGAGCAGCCAGGACTTGAACCGGCACCCCTATGGGATGCCAGCACCACAGGTGGCAGCTTTACCCACTATGCCACAGTGCCAGCCCCCAGCTATAATACATTTCAGGTTTCAAAATTATCTCAATTATGAGTTCTAATTGTGCTACCCTTCCTCCTAAACACATTAAACACTGCATCAGGACATAAACACAACAGGACGTAAACACATCAAAAGCACTGCATCAGAACTATTCTTACACATGTTCTCTTTCTCCCTCATGCCACAAAACACAAGAAGATGGTCATTTTCAACACTTTGTATAAAGGCACACTTGGTGTCAAGGCCTGTATTTGCATAGACCACTCCTTCGCTGCTTGCAAAGAAGAAAAGGCAGCAAAATAAACTAGAAGCAAGTAAGAAGTATGTCTGCATATGTGTTTGGATATACACATTTATGTCAAAGTACCTAACTTGGTGCCTAGTCCTTAATAAATTAATGTCTTTAATGATGGTAACTACATATTATTGAGCCCTTACTAAATGCTAGGCACAGTAGTAAGCATTTGTAAGGGAAATCTGAAACATATCTATTCTTACTTTACATTTAGGGAAAAAGCCCTAAAACAGCCAAATAGTATTTTCACAAGAACAAAGTAAGGGCAGTAGCCAAGCCACTGCTTGGGACACTGGCATTCCACATTGCAATGCTGGTTCAAGAACCATCTCCTCCACTTCTGACCCAGCATCTTGCTGATGCATACCAGAAGGAAGCTGATGATGGCTCAAGTGTTGGGTCCCTGTCATCCATGTGGGAGAGCAGGATCCAGTTTCTGACTCTTGGCTTCAGCTGGACTCAGACCTGGCTACTGAGGACATTTAAGGAGTGAATCAGCAAAGGGAAGCTCTCTGTCTTCCCCTCTCTTTTTCTCTGTAACTCTTTCACATAAATAATTAAAATCTTTTTTTAAAAGATTTATTTTATTTGAAAGGCAGAGACAGAGAAAGAGAGAAGGAGAGACAAAGAGAAAGGTCTTCCATGAGCTGGTTTACTCCCCAGTTGGCAGCAACAGCCAGAGCTGGGCTGATCCAAAGTCAGGAGCTTCTTCCAGGTCTCCCACGTGGATGCAGGAGCCCAACGACTTAGACCATCTTCTACTGCTTTCCTAGGCGATAGCAGAGAACTGGATCAGAAATGGAGGAGCCGGGACTCAAAGCAGCACCCATATGGGATGCTGGCACTGTAGGCAGCAGCTTTACCTGCTATGCCAGCACCAGCTCTAAAATCTTTTTAAAAATAAAAAATAAGGATGGCACTGAGGCACAGTAGGTTAAGCCACCACCTGCAGTGCCAGTAACCCATATAGGTACCATTTCATATCCTGGCTGCTTCACTTCCAATCCAGTTCTCTGCTAATGTACCTGGGAAAGCAGGAGAGGATGTCCCAAGTACTTGGACACTGATCCCAAGTAAGAGACCCAGATAAAGCTCCTGGCTTTAGCCTGGCCCAGTCCTGGCTGTTGGGGCCATTTGAGGAGTGAACCAGCAAATGTAAGGTCTCTTTCTCTCTGTCTCTCCCTCTCTGTAACCCTATCTTTCAAATAAATAAATAAATCTTTTTAAAAAATAGTAAAATAATAACAAAGTTCCAGGACTTACATTACTTGATTTTAAAATTTACTATAATGGCCAGCGCCGCGGCTCACTAGGCTAATCCTCCACCTAGCGGCACTGGCACACCGGGTTCTAGTCCCGGTCAGGGCGCCAGATTCTGTCCTGGTTGCCCCTCTTCCAGGCCAGCTCTCTGCTGTGGCCAGGGAGTGCAGTGGAGGATGGCCCAAGTGCTTGGGCCCTGCACCCCATGGGAGACCAGGAGAAGTACCTGGCTCCTGCCATCGGATCAGCGCAGTGCGCCAGCCGTGGCGGCCATTGGAGGGTGAACCAACGGCAAAAGGAAGACCTTTCTCTCTGTCTCTCTCTCACTATCCACTCTGCCTGTCAAAAAAAAAAAGGCAAAATTGTGGCCAGCACTGTGGTGTAGCGGGTAAAGTTGCTGCCTACAATACTGACATCCCATAAGGTACCAATTCATGTCCTGGCCACTCCACTTCTAATCCAACTCTCTGCTCATGGGCTGGGAAAAGTAGAAGATGGCCCAAATGTTTGAGCCCCTGCTACCCACATGGGAGACCCAGATGAAGCTCCTGGCTGCAGTCTAGCCCAATCCTAGCCACTGCGGCCATCTAAGGAGTGAACCAGCATATGGAAGTGCTCTCACTCTCCCTCTCTCTCTCTCTCCATCTCTCTCCCTGTAACTCTTTCAAATAAACAAATATTTTTAAATAGACAAATGAATTGAACAGATAGATAAGAGATATGAATTGCTAATAAGCATATAAACAAATGCAGAGCATCATTACCTTCCCAAAAAAATCTAAATTAAAACCACAATAAGATAACACTTAGGATGACTAAAATAAAACAGATCAGCCATATCAAGTGTTTAGCAGGTTGTAAAGTAAATGGAGACTTCATACACTTCTGGTGAGGGATATAAGTAATACAACTACTTTGGAAAACTGCTTGATAGTTTCTTAACATTAAAATATACCTATTGTAAATTCCACTCCTAGGTATTTACCAAGAGAAATGCAAATATGCCTAAATAAAATGTTTACAGTAGCCTTAATAACAGTCCCAAACTGGAAACAATTCAAATGCTCATCAGCTGGTATAAGGGAGCTTCAAAACATTTGAAACAAATGGAATTAAAAGATATGCTTAATCTCCATGAATTCTTTGAAACCCACTTGTAAATGGGTAAGAAAATGGATATGTCCATACAATAGAATACTTCTTAGCAATAAAAAAGGATTAAACTACTAACACATACAATAAGGATGATCTCAAAATAACAACAGTTGCATACAAAACTCCAAAAAATGCAAATTGACAGTAACACTTAACACATCAGTGGTTGCGAAGGGCCACGGTAAAATAAGGGATGACTGGAAGGAGGTAAGAAAAAAAACTTTGGGGTGATGAAAATGTTTTATATCTTGATAGCTGCGGTTGATTGACGAGTGTACATACATGTCAAAATCACAAAATTGCACATTTTAAATCAATGCAGTTTACTTCAAATAAATTATTCTCTAATAAACTTGATTTTTAAAAAGGATACCACAAAGAGAAAAAAAAGCCACACATGTGAGAAAATATCTGATTCAGATAAATATCAAGATGATTAGTATCAAGACTATATACAAATTATTTAGAAAACCATAATGTAATTTTAAAGAGGGAGAAAAATATAGGTAACTAAGTAACAAAAAACTAGAACAGGTAATAATTTTACAAAAAGATGTTCAACCTCACTAGTAATTACAAAAATGCAAATCAAAACACAAATTAAACCTTTTTATACTCAACTGATTGCTAAAAGATTTAGAGTCTAACAAAATACTGTCTCTCTAAATCCTCACCTAACTCTGCTGTTAGATGTGCAAATTGCTACAATCTCTTCAATGAGGGATGCAGCAATACCTTTCATGCTGAAGATAGGTATATCACACCCAAAAATACCTAAAGTGAGGTTTATAACTTTACAAAGGCTCTTGGTTGCCTTACTATTTATCTAAGTTACTATTTGCCAAGGCAATATTTACCAAGATACATAAAAGCTGAGTATCTAAAGATAGGCAGGACCTTATGAAGACCTTTCAAATGATTCCAGTGTGTCATACAACTATTTATATTGTCTATATGGACTATTTGTGAAAAAGTAAGAGTTTCTCTAAAGAAATTCTTATACATGTACATAAGTAGAACATTTACAAAAATAACCATTATCTAAATGATTAAACACTACAAAATTGTAAGTAACCCAAAGTCAAATGGAGAAAAGGTAAGACAGGAAATTAATGAACCAGGCAGGATACTTATATTATCCTAATAATCTCAAAAACATATTTTGTGAAAAAAGCAAGTCACAGAGGATATACTTTGTATGCCTTTTTTGTGAAGTTTTAAAATAAGTCTGAAAGACGACTGGTTGTCCACCAAAATCCCCTTCTTTAAACAGTAATAGAGTTGTAGCTGAGATGTGGTTTCCCAACTTGGTTATAAGTAACTAGGCCTCCTTACAGGCATATGATCATATGACAAAACTCTTACCAATAGAATGCTAGCAAAAGTAAAGAGTGTATACCAGAAATCAGAAATCTCTGGTCCTAGCTTATACTTACTTGTTCCTTCCCCAACCCTTGTTCGATCAGTAACTACTAGGGAGAGTTTGGAAAATATTAAGTCCCTGAATGACTATATAGATCAGTTTCACTCTTTAACCTGGACTGCCATATATAAGAATTTAATTTCCCTATCATTTAAGCCACTGAATTTTTAGAGTTTCTTTGTTATAGCACAGTAACCTTTTAACTAACAAATTCACAGAACAATACTATATATTTTTATGAGCATACTTATAAATACACACTGTAGAACGAGAATATAAAACCACAGAATGAAATGATTAATTCAAAATAATAGTTTACCATTAAGAAGGAAGAAAAAGATTCAAGGGATTTCAATTATATAATATTTTATTCAAATCTAGTGATATAAACAGTGTTCTTTTATGTTAATCTCTACATACTATTGTCTAATATATTTTATAATAAAGAACATGGATGAATGTGTAGACAAATATATATAATAAATTTGAACATAGTGTTTGCCTTATAACTTCTTTCCTACTCCACTGATTTTACTATCATAACATTACATTATATGCTGAAACATTGCAGGTTAATTACTTACTTTCCTGATCTTCTGGATCATTTCCTTCATACTCAGTCCCCTGGATAAATTGCAAAATGTTCTGCTTAAAAAACCTCTGTGCCAAGTCTGATACATTTTCTCCATTATCATTGAAGGCTTTTAAAGCTTGTGTTCCACTACTCATTCTACTGAGTAGGAATTTAAAACAGTGAAGGTGGCCTTCCATGGCTGCTAAGTGAACTACAGAGAAGACATTTTTTTTTTTTAATGTTATACTTGAAATGAAAACTTGAAAAAAGAAATAACACATTAAGTCTAATTCTCATAGGGAGATGACTATCCCTACACCATATGAAAGGAAAGATTTCCTCAGGGCTAGAATATACCTTTTTGGGGGCTCAATCTCTTTATACAGTCAGCTTTTTGGTCATATCAAAGCAACAGACTAAATGGCTAAATAATTAGACTTACTGGGAGTGTAGAGAGAACAGATGAGGGTCACAAAAGACCAAGCCACAGAAAATTATCCTAGAAAAGTGAAATCCAATGGAGCAGGCATTTAGTGTGAGGCTTACAAGCTTCTTGGAACACCCATATCACATATTGGAGAGTCAGGGTACAGACCCAGCTTTAAAGATTTATTTATTAATTTGAAAGAGTTACACACAGAGAGAAAGAGAGGCAGAGAGAGAGAGGGAGAGGTCTTCCATTCGCTGTTTCACTCCCATATTGGTTGCAACGTCTGGAGCTGCGCCAATCCGAAGCCAGGAGCCTGGAGCTTCTTCCAGGTCTCCCACGCGGGTGCAGGGGCCCAAAGACTTGAGCCATCTTCTACTGCTTTCCCAGGCCATAGCAGAGAGCTGGATCAGAAGTGCAGCAGTCAGGATTCAAACTGGCACCCATATAGGATGCAGGCAGCAGCCTCACCCACTACGCCACAGTGCTGGCCCCAACTTTCAATTCCAGCTTCCTGCTAATGCACACTCTGGGAGGCAGCAGACTCAAGCAGTCTATTATAGACAACTGGCAAATGATTTCCGCCAACATAACTCATGTCATGTTATTCCTGTGCTCAAAATTCTCCAATGGCTCTTGATACTTCTGTGACCTCATCATCTATTATTCAATCTCTCACTTCACCCCTGACCAAAGAGACTTGCTATTACATACACATACCAGGCACGCCCTTGCTTGAGAAGCTTCAGATTTGCTGTTACCTCTTCTGTAATATTCTTCCCTGGAGACAGGCCCAAGACCTGCTCCCTCAACTCCTTCAATCTTCACCCAAAGTCATACCTTCAGTGAAAGCTTGGCTGACCACCCATTTTAAACTTCACCTACTCTAATAGTTTCTAATCACCTCTCCTACATTACGTTTACCCAAACACATACTCCTATGTTTTGCTCATTCATTTTGAAGATTTATTTTATTTATTTGAAAGACAGAGTTACAGAGAGAAGGAGAGAGAGAGAGAGAGAGAGAGAGGTCTTCCATCCGATGGTTCACTCCCCATATGGCCGCAACGGCTGCAGCTGCGCCAATCCGAAGCCAGGAGCCAGGAGCTTCTTCCACGCGGGTGCAGGGCCCCAAAAGATTTGGGCCATCTTCTACTGCTATCCCAGGCCATAGCAGAGAGCTGGATCAGAAGAGGAGCAGCTGGGACTAGAACCAGTGCCCATCTGGGATGCCAGCGCTTCAGGCCTAGGCTTTAACCCACTGCACCACAGCGCCGGTCCCTTGGTCATTCATTTTGATCATTATCTGTCTCTCCCCTCACCACCACCTGAAGGGAGAAACTTTTTTTTTTATTTGCTGTGATATCCCCAGTTCTTAGAAGAGGTATTAACATAAAATAAGTGTTCAATAACTGCATATAAAATGAATTATTCTGAGAGAAGTTTGAATGCAAGCAATCTAATCCTGAGGCCACATTCTTAACCTCTGCAGTATATTATTATAAAATATACTACATATGGGGCTGGCTCCATGGCTCACCAGCTAATCCTCCGCCTTCAGCACCGGAATCCCTTATGGGTGCCGGTTTCTAGTCCCAGTTGCTCCTCTTCCAGTCCAGCTCTCTGCTGTGGCCCTGTGAAGGCAGTGAAGAATGGCCCAGGTACTTGGGCCCTGCACCTGAGTGGGAGACCAGGAAGAAGCACCTGGCTCCTGGCTTCGGATCGGCATAGCTCCGGCCATAGCGGCCATTTGGGGGGTGAACCAACAGAAGGAAGATCTTTCTCTCTGTCTCTCCCTCTCACTGTCTGTGGCTCTACCCATCAAATAAATAAATTTTTAAAAATCGTAAAAAAATATACTATATATGGTTATATACATGATTATATAAGAATTATACATATTTAAATAAAAGTTGGATTTTTCTTAATGAGCAGACAATAAAATATTACCAAATGATCAGATGTTCTGATTAAAAATAACAATTCAATGGGCTGTGCATTTGAATTAGCACTTTTCTATATTCAAAGTTTATTTTAATTTAAATCCTATTTTTTAAAGAAAATGAGAAAAATAGGTAAAAATAAGCAAAATAAAGTCCTTTCAGGTACACAAAAAAAGTAATGTTCATACCAACAGACCATCATCAAATGAACACTGACAGTTGTACTTTAAAACGAAGCAAAGGGGCTGGTGCTGCAGTGTAGCAGGTAAAGCTGCTGCCTGCGACGCTGGCATCCCATATGGGTGCTGGTTTGAGTCCCAGCTGCTCTTTTTCCAATCCAGCTCTCTGTCATGCCATGGAAAAGCAGTAGAAGATAGTCCAAGTGCTTGAGTCCCTGCACCTGGAAGAAATTCCTGGCTCCTGGCTTCAGATCGGCTTAGCTCCGGCCATGTGGCCATTGGGAACTGGACCAGCAGATGGAAGACCTTTCTCTTTGTCTCTCCCTCTCTCTCTCTGTAACTCTGCCTGGCAAATAAATAAATAAATCTTAAAAAAAAAAAAAAAAAAGGCAGCAAACAGATCCTAGGTAAAGAAGGGAAGTGAGGCCAGGAAGGTAGGTAGGAGTTGAATTATGAAGGTTCCAACATGTCAGCCTACAGAATTAGATACTCTACAGGGATCCAGACAGTTTATAAACATCAAAGTGATTTATCATTTCCCCTTGATATGTTTGCTTCTTAAGATTCCTGCAAAGGGCCACCTGTGGTGCTGGCATCTCATATAGTCGCATGTTTGAGTCCTGGCTGCTCCATTTCTGATCCAGCTCTCTGCTATAGCCTGGGAAAGCAGCTGAAGACGGTCCAAGTCCTTGGGCCCTTGCACTCTTGTGGTAGACCCAGAAGAAGCTCCAGGCTCCTGGCTTTGGATTGGCCCAGCTCTGGAAGTTGCAGCCATTTGGAGAGCAAATCACCAGATGCAAGACCTCTCTCTCTCTCTGCCTCTGCCTCTGCCTCTCTGTAACTGCCTTTCAAATAAACAAATAATCTTTTAAAAAAATTCCTCTAAGATATAATTCAAGTGTCATTTTCACTCTAATCTTACTGTGATCTCTCCCTTTTTTGAATTTCTATAGCATTTCTTATAGAAGATAGGGTATGAGGGTATGTAGAGTCTAGGTTTCAGCTAGTCAGCTTATCACAGGATAAACAACTACAATAGCATATGAACTCAAATACACTAGTGTTTTCAACAAACTGTTTATAAAACTTTAAAAATTGTCTGCAAAGAAGAGAGGTATGAAGTTAAATGAGTTGGTGCAAAGAATAAACCTATGTTTAATTTTGCCTATTTGCTTCTTGATGATTACGGTTCCAGAAAACATCAAAGAGTACATAACATTGGCATGATATAAAGTGAAAAAGGTTCATGTCAAAATAATTATTACTTTAGTTTTATAAGGGACTAGAAGAATGGTAACAATTGATATTTTTAACTATGACCAAACATTTTAAATGTTAACATTAATGAAAAACTAAAATACTTGCTTTTGTTGAATACCTGGAAGATTTCCATTGTAGTCCACATCTTCTATGCTACATCCCCATTTAACGAGAAGCTGCAAACAGCCAAGTCGCCCATGAAAAGTGGCATAATGTACAGGTTTCCATTCTCTCTTATCTGTCACACTGGGATCCTAGAGGTAACATTCACAAGCACTCAGTTCCTTCCCATTTTGTAGAGAAAACACTGAGCCCAGCAACTGACTTTTGCAAATAAAAATTGGAGGCTTCTCTTAAAACTTTAAGGCAAAAACTAAATATAATAGAAAAAATTTTACTACAACCACTGATTGGAACAGACAAGCTAATAAGATACTAGTGAAAGTTTACAACACATATTTTATATATATATAATTAATATATATTATAAAATAACCTTTTTAAAAAATATATAACTAGTCATATAAAATGGTTTTTAAAAAGCAACTTGGGGCCAGCATTGTGGCATAGCGGGTAAGGCCACCATCTGCAGCGCCGGCATCCCATATGGGCACTGGTTAGAGTCCCAGCTGCGCCACTTCCTATCCAGCTCTCTGCTATGGCCTGGGAAAGCAGTAGAAGATGGCCCAAGTCCTTGGGCCTCTGCACCTGTGTGGGAGACCAGGAAGAAGCACCTGGCTCCTGGCTTCAGATAGGCGCAGCTCTGGCAGTTGTGGCCAATTCTGGAGTGAACCAATGAATGAAAGACCTCTGTGTGTGTGTGTGTGTGTGTGTGTGTGTGTGTGTAACTCTGACTTTCAAGTAAAATAAATAAATCTTTAAAAAAATAAAAAGCAAACTTAAGGCAGGGCCAGTACTGTGGTGCATCAGGTTAAATAAAGCCCTGGACTACAGCGCCAGCATCTCATATGGGCGTTGGTTTGAGTCCCAGCTGCGCCACTTCTGATCCAACTCCCTGATAACAAGCCTGGGAAAGCAGCAGAGGCTGGCCCAAGTCCGTGGGCCCCTATATCCACATGGGAAAATCAGAAGAAGCTCCTGGCTCCTGGCTTCAGATCAACTCAGCTCCAGCCTTTGTGGCCATTTGGGGAGTGAACCAGCAGATGGAAGACTTCTCTCTCTCTGTCTCTAACTCTCTCTATAACTCTTTCAAGTAAATAAAATAAATCTTTTTTTTAAAAAAAAAGAACTAGTAATTTTACTAACCATAGATCTCTAATAAAATGAGATGATTTAAGTAATCAAATCATATCACTAAGAACATTAACATTAAGAACTATTGAAAAATTAATCATTTTTTCATTTTTTTTCTCTAAAGATCTCAACACTTGTGCCGGCTGTAGCGGCCATTTGAGGGGTGAACCAACAGAAAAGGAAGACCTTTCTCTCTGTCTCTCTCTCTCTCACTGTCTAACTCTGCCTGTCAAAAAAAATAAATAAATAGGCCGGTGCCGCGGCTCACTAGGCTAATCCTCCGCCTTGCGGCACCGGCACACCGGGTTTTGTCCCGGTCGGGGCACCGGATTCTGTCCCGGTTGCCCCTCTTCCAGGCCAGCTCTCTGCTGTGGCCAGGGAGTGCAGTGGAGGATGGCCCAAGTGCTTGGGCCCTGCACCCCATGGGAGACCAGGATAAGTACCTGGCTCCTGCCATTGGATCAGCGTGGTGCGCCAGCCACAGCAGCCATTGGAGGGTGAACCAACGGAAAAGGAAGACCTTTCTCTCTGTCTCTCTCACTGTCCACTCCGCCTGTCAAAAAAAAATAAATAAATAAAAATAAAAAATAAAAAAAAATATTTAACAAAAAAATAAAATAAAATAAATAAATAAATAAATAAAAACATTCTTCAAATTTATTTGAAATCTCAGCAGAGTGTCAATGTTTATAAAAAAAATCAACTCTTACCATAAAGTCATCAATAAGTAATTATTTTCATATATGATTTTACTATATTTTAATATTTATTAATTTATTTGTAAGGCAAAGTGACAGAGAGAGGGAGATTGACAGAGAGCTCCTACATCTACTGATATAATCCCCAAATAGGAGCAATGGCCAGGGCTAGGTCTAGATGAAGCCAGGAGCCAGGAACTCCATCTAGGTCTCCCCCGTAGGTGGCAAGAACTCAAGTATTGAGCCATCATATGCTGCTTCCCAGGGACACTAGCAGGGAGCTGGATTGGAAGTGAAGGAGCCAGGACTCAAACCAGCATTCAATATGGGATACAGGCCTCCCAAGCATCAGCTTAACCTGCTTTGCCACAATGCCCATGCCAGGAGGCTATTTTTTTATACCACAACTGAACAATATTAAAAATAAATATTGCAAAAAATAAATGAAATATCTGGAGAGAAAAACTGCTTTCTAAATTAGCATAAAATAAGAGTTTTAAAAGATATGCATTGGTAGAGAGAAATTCATAAAGATTTACAATCACCTGGTTACCTTTGTTTAGAAGCTTCAGAATCTTCCCAAACTCTGAACCGGAATGAAGAACCACCTAATGCTTGTGAAATTCCTTTGTACTACTCAACTTGGGGTGAGGGGTAGAGAGGGCAGTAGGGAAGATTTATCTGAATTATTGTTCCATGTTTAAAGACGGAAAAGCTAAAGAGAACAACTAAATTACTTTCCCAGTCATATAAGAGATTTTAAAAAGTTAGGAAGAGATAACCAGACTACCAAGTACTATCCCATCTATATGATTATATATAATCACTAATTAACAGGAGTCCCTCACCACTCCACTTCGGAGCATTATTTGTAAAGTAAAAGAATGTCCATGAGTTGCAGCGAGATGTAAAGGAGTACATCCACGGTCATCCTGAGCTGCCAGATTTGCTCCATTGATTATAAGAGCCTAAAAATGGAGAAATGGAAATGAGCTTACACAAGTACATATGAAGATGCAGATTACTTTTTTTAAAGATTTTATTTATCTATTTGAGAGGTAGAGCTACAGAGAGAGGGAGACAAAGAGAAAGGTCTTCCATCCACTGGTTTACTCCCCAAATGACAGCAATGTCTGGAGCTGAGCCAATTCGAAGCCAGGAGCTAGAAGCTTCTTCTGAGTCTCCTACATGGGTGCAGGGCCCTAAGCACTTGGGCCACCTTCCACTGCCTTCCCAGACCACAAGCAGAGAGCTGGATCAGAAAAGGAGCAGCTGGGACATGAACTAGTACCCATACGTGATGCCGGCACCAAAGGTGGAAGCTTAGCCTACTACACCACAGAGCTGGCCCCAAAGACACAGATTACCTAAAGGCTGGAAATTTAGCTTATAGCTAAATTATCATATATGTTCTTACATATATGCTAAAAGCAAACCAGGGAATTGTTAACTAATCCTTAAAAAAATGCTTGAGGCTCTCTTTTAACATTACTGAGACATTTAACTAATTTTACAACCTAATTTGAGCATGTGATACATCTTACAAAGCACACTTTCAGGAGCACAGATTAATAACAATGAAAAATATTTTAATGCTAAGCCAATAAAACTGAAATTTAAACTTCTATAATTTCAAAAGCAGAATCTTTTATTAGCCGGGTTTTAAACTCAACAAAAGGATTTAGTTAACTGAAGTAAATAGTTGCAAACTCTCTAACAAGCTTGTAATTTCATGTAAGAAGCTTTAATTTTAATTTGCAATTGGCCCTGTTTCTATACATAAATTGTGTAATATAGGGGCTGGCATTGTGGCACAAGTTAAGCTGCCACTTGCCATGACATCATCCCTTATTGGATCACTGGTTCAAGTCTCAGCTACCCTACTTCTAACCCAGATCCTGCTGATGCACCTGGGAAGCATTAGATGACTGCTCAAGTGCCTGGGTCCCTGCCACATGGATCTGAGACCCAGAAGAGGCTCCTGGCTGTTGGATTCAGCCTTAGCCCAGTACCAACTGTTGTGGCCATTTGGAGAGTGATCCAGCAGATGCAAGATCTCTCTCTCTCTCTGAATCTCTCTCTCTCTCCCTCTCTCCCCAAACCCCGCCCCCGTCACCTTGCCTTTCAAATAAAATGCAACATATAGCATACCCCTCTATATCATATACAAAGTGGCTGATTTCAAAGAATTATTAGTCCCAATTAAAATCTCAGCAAGGTATTTTGTGGATATCAACAAATTGATATTAAACTTTATTTAAAAAGGCAAAAGACCTAGAATAGTCAACACAACACTTAACATAAAACTGCAGTAATCAAAACAGTGAGGTATTGGCCAAAGAACAAATAGATCAATGGAACTAAATAAAGAGGATGGAAATAGACTCATGTAATAGTAGTCAGTCGACCTTCGACAAAGGAGCAAAGGCAATAATAACTGTAGTTTCAATAAAGGTTGCTCAAATAACTGGCTATTTACCTGCAAAAACAATGAATCTACAAGTAGACCTTACACTTTTCAAAAACATGAACTCCAAATGTACTACAGACCTAAATGTAAAGTGTAAAACTATAAAACTCCTAGAGGATAGCATCTGATAAAATCTAGATGATCCAGGGTGTGGCAATAGATTTTTAAGTACACCAAAGGCACAATGCATGAGACAAAGAGTTGATAAATTGGACTTCATTAAAATTAAAAATCATTGCTGAGCTGGCACTGTGGCGTAGCAGGTTGAGCTGCTGCCTGCAGTGCCGGCATCACATATGGGAGCCAGTTCAAGTCCTGACTGCTCCACTTCCTATCCAGCTCTCTGCTATGACCTGGGAAAGCAGTGGAAAATGGCCCAAGTCCTTGGGCCTCTGCACCCACGTGGGAGACCTGGAAGAAGCTCCTGCCTCCTGGCTTCAGATTGGCGCAGCTCCAGCCATTGTGGCCAACTGGAGAATGAACCAGAGGATGGAAGACCTCTCTCTGACTCTCCTCCTCTCTCTGTGTAACTTTGACTTTCAAATAAATAAATAAATCTTTTCTTAAAAGAATCGTTGCTTTGCAAAAAACAGTGTCAAGAGAATAAATGAAAAATCACAGACTGGAGGAAAATATTTGTAAAAGGCACACCCAGTAATGGACTGTTACCCTAAATATACACAGAACTCTTAAAATTCAAGAAAACAACCCAGTTTAAAATAGATCAAAGACCTGAACACAGACTTCACCAAAGATTTAAAGATGGCAAATAGGTATACAAAAAAATGCTCCACAAATGTCATAATGGAAATGCAAATTAAAACAATGTGAAAACAGTACACAGCTATTAGAATTGCCAAAATCCAGAACACCAAAAACATAAAATTCTAAAAAGGACGTAGAGCAACAACTCTTGTTCACTGCTATTTGGGAGGGCAAAATGGTACAGCCACTTTAGAACAGTGTGGCAGCTTCTTACTAAATTAAACATAATCTGAACATACAATCCAGCAATCATGCTCCTAGGTATTACTCAAAGTTGAAAACTTCTATCAGTACAAAAACCTGAACTTGGATGTTTAAGCAAAACTTGCCAAAACTTGGAAGTAACTAAGATGTCCTTCTGTGGATAAATACAAATAAATTGTGGTGCATCCAGCCAATGAGCAATATTCAGTACAAAAAAGACACAAGCTATCAAACAATGAAAAAGACATGGAGGATACTTAAATGCATATTAAATAAACCAGTCTGAAAAGGCTACATACTGTATAATTTCCAACTATATGACATTCTGGGAAAGGTAAAACTATGGAGACAGAAAAAATATTAGTGTCTCCAGGTTGGAGGAAAGGGAAAGACGACTAGAGAATAGAGGATTTTTAGAACAGTGAAACTACTTTGTACAATACCTAAATGGTAAATAAATGTCATCATAAATTTATCAAATGCAATGTATGTAAGAGTAAAACCTAGGGGCCAGCAGTGTGGCCTGATGGTTAAAGCCACTGCCTTGGGGCCAGCAGAGTAGAGGGTTAAGCAGTGTCGCATAGAGAGTGCAACACCGGCATCCTATACGGGCACAGCTGAGTCCCAGCTACTCCAATTCTGATCCAGCTCCCTAATGCACCTGGAAAAACAGCAGAAAATGGCCCAAGCTCTTGGGCCTTCACCCACATGGAAGACCTGGGAAAAGCTCCTGGCTCCTGGCTTCAGATTGGCACAGCTCCAGCAGTGAGGCCAACTGGAGAGTGAACCAGCAGTTGGAAGACTCGCTCTCTCTCTCTCTCTCTCTCTCTCTGCCTCTCTGCCTCTCTGCCTCTCCTTCTCTGTGTAATTCTGCCTTTCAAATAAATAAATCTGTAAGATAATTGGAATTTCAAATTTAAAAAGTCACAACATAAAGACCTATCAACTCAGCGAATTAGGAAATACATAAAGATAACTATATAAAAAGCGATCTTTTTACACAAAATAGTACCAAAAAGCACCACAAAAGCTCTGAGAAGAAAAAGACCACTCTAAGAGAAGGATAATCAAAGTAATGGCAGCGACTTGAACTAATACTTGGAGAAAGGCAAGCATCAGCAAAGTTTCATTTGATCCTGATGTCTATTCTATTTCTCCTTCCTTACACTGCCTAGCTTTTCAAATTAATAAATACAATTTCAAATCCACTTGAAAACTGGGTGCCATCCCTACCATACACCCAACCTTTTCCTATAGTGAGCACTCATCCACTTTGTTCAGTGGCATTTTGTTACACTTTATTCTACTTAGATTAACTCATATTTCACCTATCTCCTTAAAATAAACTTCTTCATTTTCACAGTTCTAATTGATCCTGGCTCTCCTACCTTTATGATCATCCTTCTCTGAACTCTTTATTCACTCTGTGATTCCTCCTTGCTTACTAGTTATATTCTTCAACATTCAATCCTCAACTCTAAACTCTTCTCTATTCTTTATTATTCTTGAACTCTTTGTCTCCAGCCCCCTTTTCAACGGTGTGGACATTCTCTATCTAAATGAACTACAAGCATCTTAAACTGAACAAGTGTCAAATTAATTTCAACATTTTCCCTCCCAAATCTTCCCTTTCATATTTCCTAATCACTATCATATATATCTGGCTGTCTGTCTCAAAACTTTAAATTCTCACTATATTCTGTCAATGACTACTTTGCAAAATGTCTCAAGTCATTTTCTTTCTTTTCTTCTGCCACTTCTTAATTTCTCCCTCTCTGGTTTTCTCTGATTACAGGAAAAATCCCTAACTAGTCATCTTACCTCTGAACTCTCTCTTCATCCCTGGTAATCTTAGAGACATTTTACAACAATAATTTCCTAAAATATGTGTTTTATTATTTCATCCCTCTTAATGTCCATATGAGTGGATATGTATGCATACATATGTACGTATATACACATATGAGAGGTCTTCAAAAAATTCATGAAAAGTGAACATTTTAGGAGTTTAAGATTTTTTGCACCAATAATAAACTTACCTTTAATCCCATTTTCCACAAATTGTTGTCTTCTCATATACACATGTATGTATATAAAAATTCCCTTTCCTATACAAATGATCCAAAATGCCCATTCTACTTTTAAGACATTTTACAGATGTGACCTATCCAAACATACTTCATAACAGTCCACATGACAAACCATTTATACTCAGTCAAGCTCAAATAATGATATATCCCCTGAACATATCTCAATCTTTCACTTCATAGCCTCCACAAAGAAATATATCATAGGGGTCAGCGCTGTGGCATAGTGGATGAGGCCGCCGTCTGCAGTGCTGGCATCTCATGTGAGCACCAGTTCTAGTCCCGGCTGCTCCACTTTGATCCGGCTCTCTGCTATGGCCTGTGAAAACAGTGGAGGATGGCCCAAGTCCTTGGGCCCCTGAACCCACGTGGGAGACCTGGAAGAGGCTCCTGGATCCTGGCTTCAGATCAGCACAACTCCAGCCGTTGCAGCCAACTGGGGAGTGAGCTGGCGGAAGGAGGACCTCTCTCTCTGTCTCTCTGCCTCTCCTTTTCTCTCTAACTGACTTTCAAGTAAATAAATAAATCTTTATAAAAAGAAGTACATCATAGAGATTAATAGGGCGAGCCTAGGTTCAAATTCTGACTTTGTCAGTGACATAAACAATAAACTTAACATTCTGAATCAGTTTCCTGATCTATGAAAAGAACTCATAGAATTGTTGTATCAAATGAGATGATGCATGAAAGACTGTTATTGACAAATTAAAAAATATTGAATAAGTGATATGCATTACTTTTAATGGATCTGAACATATTTCTTGCTTACAACACTTCTTATCTATTTAAAATCAATCTGGTTTTTAGGCTTAACTGATGTTTTATTTCCTACATTTATAATTTCTCAAACCTCTCCCAAATTCTAAAATTCTTCTCTTCTATATTTTTCACTAAAACCCTAATCATAAAAAACCCCTAATCATAAACTTTTCTTTGTATTGTTTTATAATTCACTGAGTAGAATTTCTATCACTTCAAACAAAATCCCAGGCTTCTTACCGGCAGAGACTGTTTCCTTATACAACTCTGTATTCTTCCAAATTCCAGTCTACCTTATACATTGATTAAATGTAGATTCTCTAATAAACAAGATCCTGCCACATGTTAATGTGTTACTCTGGTCAGGAAATAAATTAAATAAGGAATTTTAGGCATGGCAAGTGCCTCAGTCTGTTCAGGCAGCTACAACAAAATCCTCTAAATTGGACAGCTTATAAACAATAAAAATTTATTTCTCACAACTCTGAAGATAGAATTCCAAGATGAAAGTGCTAACAAATTTTTTGTCTGGTGGCAGCCCATTCTGCCTAGACAGCACCTTCTCACTGCATCCTCACATTCAGTTTAAGGGGTGAGCTAGTTCTCTGGGGAGAGAGTTTCTTTTATAAAGATACTAATTCCACTCATGTCAGCAAAGTCTTCATAACTAACAACTTCCCCAAATGCCCTACCTCCTAATACCATCACCTTGGGATTAAGATTTCAATATATTGAGTCATGCCTCCATATTCACAGGTTTCACATACACATAACACACAACAGAAAACATCAGGAAAAAAAACTTTTATATTGAACATATACAAACCTTCTTCCTTGTCATATTCCCTAAATTGCATTCTGTAACTTTTATTTATGTAGCATGTACATAATGTTTAAATAATCTACAGATAAGTTAAAGTCTATGAGAAGATATACATGGAATATACACATATGCTACACTATTGAATATAAGAGATTTGAACATCTATAGATTTTGGTAGCCTTGGGGGATCCTGTAGCCAATCCCCTATACATACAAAGTGACACTTGTATTTATTTGGGGAACAACAAACATTCAGAACATAACAGCAAACTAGAAAGGAGATCATCTGGGCATGACTGTGATGTGTCTCAAAACAATCCAGATGGCCAACTACTTCAGAAATAAAAAAATCACTGGGCTCATACCATAGAAGTGGAAAGTTAGTATCAAAATATCTGAGTCATAGAATCTAGTAAGTTCTTGTTTAGAACATAAATCTACTGGATCAGATAGAATAATTGCAACATCCCAACAGAACAATGCTAAAGTAATCCAGCTTATTGAATTTAAAAAATCCCCAAGTGATTATTACCTGCATACAAGCATCTTGACCTCTAATTGCAGCTATGTGAGCTGCTGTCCAACCTCTTGAAGTTACTTGTGTGATATCAGCTCCATGCCACAGTAGCCAATGAAGACACTAAATTAAGAAAATAGTAATAAGTGATAAAGCCTATGTTTTAACCTTGCTATATATTTAAATTTAGTCTATTATCATGAAATTACTATTGTAACCTGAGAAGCATCCTAAGTGAATTAGGATACCAGGTTTAAGGTCAAATGAAAAAGGTACAAGCACAATGACAAGGAAACCAAGATCTGGCCTCACTGTTCGGAAAATAATAACAAGCAGTAATAATTGTTGCAAAATGAAGACAATCTTTCTTGTTCATAAGGTGCAGATGCTACTTAATTTTAGCCAGTTGTTACTATGACTGAAATGTCAATCCAAAGTTGGTAAATAGAGGACAGCATTGTGGCATAGCCAGTTAAGTTACCACTTGGGATGCTCCTGCCCCATATGGGCACCAGTTCAAGTTCCAGCCACTCCACTTTGGATACAGCTCCCTGTTAATGTGCCTGGGAAAGCAGAAGATGGCCCAAATACTTGGGCCCCTGCACCAACATGAGAGACCCTGATGAAGCTCCTGGCTCCTGGCTTTGGCCTGGCCCACCCCTGGCTATTGTGGCCATTTAGAGAGTCAAACAGTGGATGGAAGATCTCTTTCTCTCTCTCTCTCTCTCTCTCTTTCTCTCTCTCTCTCTCTCTGTGTGTGTATGTGTGTAACTCAGCCTTTCAAATAAATAAATCTTTAATTTATATACATATTATATACATACATACATACACACACACAAAGTTGGCAAATATTCTGTTTAATCAATACTAGGCAAGTTGGGGCTGGTGGAGTAGCAGGCAATGCTGCCACCTGCAATGCCAGCATCCCATATGGGCACTGGTTCATGTCCCAACTGGTCCACTTCCCATGCAGCTCCATGCTAATGTGCTGAGAAAAGCACTGGAAGGTGGCACAAGTATTTGGGCCCCAGCCAACCATATGGGAGACCAAGACGAAGCTCCTGTCTCCTGGCTTCAGCCTGGTCCAGTACCAGCTGTTGCAGCAACCTGGAGAGGGAACCAGTGGATGAAGGATATCTCTCTCTCCTTCCCTCTCTGTAACTCTTTCAAAATAAATATATAAATCTTAAAGAAAAAAAAAAAACACTATACAAGCCAAACAAAACACATATAGTGAGCAAACTTCACAAAAAGCTGCTAGTCTTCAATCTCTACCATAAATCCTAAATAGGTCAAGAAGCTTTATACCAAAAGAAATGTTGTTACACTGATCGACTATTTAAAAAGTTAAGTGTTTTATTAAAAGGGGTGGGTGTGGTCAGATGTATCGCAAAATTTTTTTAAATTAATCTAAGTCTCAATATAACAGAGTACTTACAGGTCTATTCCACACATAATGATGTTACTATCTTTACATGTTCAAATTTGTGGATTCTATTCCCAAGAAGCCTCTTTTTTGTTAAGAATTGATTGTATCACTGAGATACAATGTCACATCTGTCAGAGCCATATCATTTGTTTAAAAGACTTATCACAGATTAATAACCAATAGAATATTTGTAAAAGCCCAATCTCGCTAATAGTCACAATAAATCATTCATTCATTCAGCAAATATTTATGCTCAGGTACAGAATAAAGTCACTATAAACATTCACATACTGATTCTGCATTTCTCTTAGATAAATACAAAGAAATGAGGTTGAAGAAACAGAAAATCTGTTTAACTTAAAAGAAGTTGATCTGAACTTAGAAAACTGATTACTAGAGACTGAGGAAGGAATGATAAAAGGAGGTTGTACAAGGGCTACTAAAATACAATTAGTGTTCCACAGAACATAGCAGTGACTACCGTTTACAGTAATGTCTTATACACTGTATGAAGAAATAGAACAAAGGAGCTCGGGGCCAGCGACACGGCGCAATAAGTTAATCCTCCGCCTGCAGGGCCAGCATCCCATTTGGGCATCAGTTCCAGTCCCAGCTGCCCCTCTTCCAATCCAGCTCTCTGCTATGGCCTGGGAAAGCAACAGAAGATGGCCCAAGTGCTTGGGCCCCTGCACCCACGTGGGAGACCTGGAAGAAGCTCTTGGCTCCTGGCTTTGGATCCATGCAGTTCCAGCTGTTGCAGCCATTTGGGGAGTGAACCAACAGAAGGAAGACCTTTCTCTCTGTCTCTCCCTCTCACTGTCTGTAACTCTACCTCTAAAATAAAAATAAAATAAAATAATAAAAAATGAAATAAAATAAAATGAACTGAAATAAAATGAAATGAAATGAAAGAAAGAAGGAAGGGAGGGAAGGAGGGAGGAAGGGAGAGAAAGAAAGAAAGAAAGAAAGAGAGAGAGAGAGAGGGAGGGAGGGAGGGAGGGAGGGAGAGAGAGAGAGAGAGGGAGGGAGGGAGAGAGGGAGGGAGAGAGAGAGAGGGAGGGAGGGAGGGAGGGAGGGAGAGAGAGAGAGGGAGGGAGGGAGGGAGGGAGGGAGGGAGAAAGAAGGAAGGAAGGAAGGAAGGAAGGAAGGAGGAAGGAAGGAAGGAAGGAAGGACTCTCTCTCGGTCGCAAGGTCTAGACCTGAGACAGACAGAAAGAGAGAGAGAGCGACAGAGAGAGAGAGGGCGGGAGGACGGAAGGACGGAAGGAGGGAAAAGATAAAGGTCCTGGCTCCTGGCTTCAGCCTGGCCCAGCCCTGGCCGCCTTTCCCTTCACAGAGTGGAGTAGTGGTTTGAAGATCTCTCTCTCTCTCTCTCTCTCTCTTTCCTGCTCTTCTCTGTGATTTTTTAAATAAATCTTAAAATAATGAGTTTTATTTCTGAAAAATATTGAGACAACTCAAAAATAATTCAAAGGCTGGGGCCGATGCTGTGGTGTAGCTGGTAAGGCTGCTGCCTACAGTGCCAGCATCCCATACGGATGCCAGTTTGAGTCCCAACTGCTCCACTTCTGATCCAGCTCTCTGGTACGGCCTGGGAAAGCAGTAGAAGATGGCCCAAGTGTTTGGAACCCTGCACCCACGTGGGAGACCCAGAAGAAGCTCCTGGCTCCTGGCTTCGGACCTGCACAGCTCTTGCAGTTGCGGTCAACTGGGGAGTGAACCATCGGATGGACGATCTCTCTCTCTCTATGCCTCTCCTTCTTTCTCTGTGTAACTCTATCAAGTAAAATAAATAAATCTTAAAAAAAAATAAATAATTCAAAGGCTACTACCTTGGGAAACTAAGAAAAGAAGGGAAAAGAATAATGGTTTGGGGCTGGCACTGTGGTGCTGTGAGTTAAGCCGCTGCTCACAATGCTGGCATCACATATCAGAGTGCCAGTTTTAGTCTCAGCTACTCCACTTCCAGTCCAGGTCCCTGCTGACACACGTGAGAAAAAGCAAGTGATGGCCCAAGAACTTGGGCCACTACTTAGGAAACCTGGATTAAGTTCCATGCTCCTGGCTTCAGCCTGGCCCAACACCAGCCACCGCAGTCATTTGGGGAGTCAATCAGTGGACAGAAAATCTCTCTCTCTCTCTCCTTTCCTCTCTCCCGCCCTCCCTCTGTGTCACTCTGCCTTGCAAATAAATAAATAAATCTTTAAAAAAAAAAAATGGTTTTGGGGCTGGCGCTGTGGCGCAGTGGGTTAAAGCCCTAGCCTGAAGTGCCAGCATCCCATATGGGTGCTGGTTCTAGTCCCGGCTGCTCCTCTTCCGATCTAGCTATCTGTTATGGCCTAGGAAAGCAGTAGAAAATGACCCAACTCCTTGGGCTCCTGCACCCGTGAGGGAGACCTGGAGGAAGCTCCTGGCTCCTGGTTTCAGATCGGAACAGCTCCGGTCGTTGCGGCCATCTGGGGAGTAAACCAGCGGATAGAAGACCTCTCTCTCTGTAACTCTATCTTTCAAATAAATAAAATAAATCTTTTAAAAAATGGCTTTAATTTTAGACCAACTGAATTTGAGGTAACAAACATGCATGAGCTATTGATTAAGCACTTAATGCATAATTCAGAAATCAGGAGAGAAAGCAAATAAATGAGTAATGTAGAAGTAGTAAAGCCAAGGAAGACTAAAAGACTTTCTGGACAGAGTATAAGGTAGGGAAGAGAGGTCGATGGCAGAGATATCAAGAACATGGAAAGGTGAATTAACCAAAAGAAACTAAGTGGCAGTGATCAGAAAGGCTGAAAGGGTATCATAAGGAGATGAAATGAATAGAATATCAAGATGTCCTATTTGAATATAGTAGAGGAAAAACAGAGAAAATTACTTTTATGAAACTAGGAGACATCTGTACCTCCAACCACAAAACAGATGAAAAAGCTACCAAAATGCAAATCAAACAGGGATGTGGGCAGAAACAACAGAGAATACTCACCCAGGAACCACCAAAGTACATTTCTCCCAAATGAGAGGGATACACTGAAAGGCTTAAGCAAAAATTTCTTATTTACAATGGGTGTAAACTAGCAGTTGTGAGGTTCACAAACTGGCAGAGGGAGATTCTGTGGACCAGATTTGGTTACAAGAAGTAGACAGATCCAACAGAACAGAAATTACACAGAGAACCGTGTTCATAGAAAGCAATCTGTGTGTGTGTGTGTATGTGGCACAGGTGAAAAAGAGACTGTATTGTGAATAGACTTTGCAGCCTACAGGCTGGGAAACACAGTAGTTAAAACAAGCTTCTCCCAGTGTTGTGGCATAGAAGGTGAAGCCACTGCCTGAGACACCAGCACTCAATATAGGCACCAGTTCAAGTCCTAGCTGCTCCAATTCCAAACCAGCTCCCTGCTAATGGCCTGGGAAAAGCTGAAGAAGATGGCCCAAGTGTTTGGACTCCTGCTACCCATGTGGAAGATCCAGATGAAGCTTAGGGCTCCTGGCTTCAGCCTGGCCAACTGCTGGCCATTGCTGTCATCTGGGTAGTCAACCAGCAGATGGAAAAATCTTTGTTTCTCCCTCTCTGTAACTCTTTCAAAATAAATAAATCAATTAAAAAAAAAAAAAAAAGACTTCTCACATAAAACCTTGAATCAAAAATTCCAGTTGACCTTGTACAGAGCCCAAAAGACCTAAATAAAAATATTCACTAAGCATTGTTTGTACTAGCTAAAAACTGAAACCAATTAAATATCCATCAACAGAAAAATGGATAATTTCTGGTACCAGTCTGAGAATAAACTACTCTAAAATGACTAAAAGAAATGAACAAGAGTACGTGTATATAACCACATGGTTAAAACTCAAAAAAATTGAAACAATCAAAAGCAAGCTACAGAATGATACACATAATGTGATGTCATTTATATAAAGTATGTCATTGAAAACAATTACATAATCATATGTGATAACAGTATACAACATAGCAGGAATAAACAATTCCAAAGTCCATACAATATTTATCTCTGGAGTTTGAAGGTGAGAAACGGCACCTAGGATGCTCACAGACTTTAAATACATCTATAATATTCAATTTCCTTTCTAAAAATTTGTAACAACTATTGTAAAAACATTAGAAAAGGTATTCATTATGCTATCCTATGTAAGTTATCACCTCTGCCTGTCTTTGGACTCTAGTCATCATAATAATGTGAGGAAGTGCAAACCAGCCCATATGGAGAAACCGCACAAAAAGGCCCATATGGAAAGAAATTAAGGTGCCCAATTCAGTGAGCATCAATCAGCCATCTGAGTAAACAAGTGTTCAGAAGATTCACGCTCCACCTTTTGAATCTGCCAGCTGAAGTCCTAGAAATTACGACCTAGAGATAAACTATGCCTGAAATTAAAATTCTTGGTTCACTCATGAACATAAACAAATGGTTATTTTATGACACTAAGTTCTGAGATAATTTGCTATAAAGCCTGAATAACGCAAAAGGCACAAGTACTATAGATTCATCGAAAAGAAAAATATTTGCAGCATCTAGCATAAGATTCATCTCTGTTCACTAAATTTGAAAGCCACAATTGCTGTCAATTTGCCTCAGTTTCATAATACGTATAGCTTCTTTTTGTTTTTTAAAGATTTGTTTATTTGAAAGTCAGAGTTACACAAGAGAGGCGAGGCAGAGGGAGAGAGGTCTTCCATCCGATGGTTCACTCCCCAATTGGCCGCAATGGCTGGAATTGTGCCGAACCGAAGGCAGGAGCCAGGAGCTTCTTCCTGGTCTCCCAAGTGGGTGCAGGGGCCCAAGGACTTGGGCCATCTTGTACTGCTTTCCCAGGCCAAAGCAGAGAGCTGGGTCGGAAGTGGAGCAGCCGGGTCTCAAACCAGCGCCCATAAGGGATGTCGGCGCTTCAGGCCAGGGCATTAACCCAATGCGCCACAACACCGGCCTCTGTGTATAGCTTCTTACCTCCAAACTTCCAGAATGTGCTGCCCAATGTAAAGGGGTAAATTTATGGAGAACATCAACTTCATTAATGCTGGCTCCACGTTCCACTATTTCTGAAAGCTGCTTCACATCTCCAGCTCGTACTGCATCATGTATACTACCAAAATGCACCTTCTTCTTGGCAGCTGTTAAAAAATCAAATTACTTAAAATATATTACTGAACTGTAAAAAAAAAAAGCACAAGAGAGGAAGAAAGAGACTAAAACAATAATTCAACAGCAAGCACAAAATCCTGTTATGTTCCCAAATAATTTACTACAAAGATGTTTGTGATTAATATCTTAATCAGACATCTGGTTTCTGTTTTGTCATGTAGACTGACACTCTACGCTTCCATGAAAAACAGTGCAGAAACAAAAAATCAACAACTCCTTCTGCACTCACCAGAGAATTGAGGTCTTAGGGCAAACTGCCACCTCAAATACAGACAAAAATAGTTGAGTTCAGCTCATCTGGTTATAGAAGTTGCTGGAGCCAAAAACTAGTAACAGCACTTATATGGTAATTTTGAATATTTGCTCAGAGCTGAGAATGTACTAGCCTATGATGAGAAATTCCTTATGGCCAGTCTTCTGTAGCCCCTACACTTTCAAAGATTTTACCTTCAGAAACCAAAGAAAAATTACCATGTCTTTGCTAGGCTGAAAGGGAAAAGTAACCCTTTTGAAATATGCCCAGTGCATTCCCCATAATAAATGCCTAATCCTCAATGGAAAAGACTTTACCAGAGCCTCAACTCATAAATGCACATTTTAATCAATATTTTTCTTATCTATCTACTATATCCTAAACTAAGAATGGCAGATCACAAATTTTAGTTCATACACTCTAGTGTTTTATATTTTATAATCTAATATTCCAAGCACCAAGTATTCTTGGTGCTGTCAGGCAAACTGCATTGTGAACCAGAGTCAATAAAGGTATATAAGCACAACCAATTATTAGAGAAAGGAAAAAATTATTTAACTGAAATATTCCCTAAATAAAACAAAAAGGCATGATTCTTGACCTCAATTTGTTTTGAAAACAACTTACAACACTTCTGGTAACTTTGTACTGTCTGTGTGGCTGTCCCCTCCATTATCAGAATACTGATTTTTTTTAAGATTTATTCATTTAGTTGACAGGCAGAGTCACAGACAGAGAGAGGGAGAGACACAGAGAGAGGTCTTCCATATGCTGGTTCACTCCCCAAATGGCTGCAACAGCCAGAGCTGGGCCAGGCCAGAGCCAGGAGCCAGGAACTTCTGGGTCTCCCACATGGGTGCTGGGGCCCAAGCACTTGGGCCATCTTCCACTATTTTCCCAGGCCATCAGCAGGGCACAGGATCAGAAGTGGAGCAGCCAGGACACAAACCAGTACCCATATGGAATGCTGGTGCTGCAGGCAGAGGCTTAACCTACTATGCCACAACACCGGCCCAAACACTAATTTCTTAAGGGTTAAAAAGCATTTCTAACACTGAGATCATATCTTACACCAACCCTTAGCAACACGCTCCTCTCTTAGTATCTATCATATACCAGGCATTATGAAAACACAGTAAAGAATAAACATGGATTTAATACATTTTCCTTGCCCTAACATCATAAATCTATTTAGATAAATACAATGAAAATAGAAACCTGACAGCAGGGGCCGGCACTGTGGCACAGTGGGCTAAGCCATGGGCAGCAGTCCTGACATACCATGTGTTTGCCAGTTCGAGTCCCGGCCTGGGAAGCAGTGGAAGATGGCTCAAGTTCCTGGGCCCCTGCCACCTAAATGGGAGACCCAGAGGAAACTCCTGGCTCCTGGCTAAAGCCTGACCCAGCACTGGCCATTTGGGAGTAACCAGCAGATGGAAGATCTCTCTCTCCCTGTCTCTGCTTCTCTCTCTGGAACTCTGCCTTTCAAATAAATAAATAAATCTTAAAAAAGAAACCTAACAGAGAGTATAGGTATAAGTAAAATTAAGAAGATGTCACAGAGAAGGAAATATTTGAGTAAGACCTTGAAGAACAATTAAGTTCTATGTAGAAAGAAGGGTATATTATTGTATTCTTAATTTGTATCTATGAACTACATTGAATCTGTTCTCTTCATATTAATATCACATTAATATGAGAACTGTGTTGTAGTAATTATTATGCATTTACTGTAACCCTGAGAATCTAATGCATTAATAAATTCCTTTAAAAATTAAAAGGATTTATGCATATGGGAAAGGAAGCAAATAAGGCTCACAAAAGAGGCCCACATGCATGAGTTCACACAAACAATAAATATTTAATGATTTTTTTCTTTTTTTTTTTTTTTTTTTTTTTTTTGACAGGCAGAGTAGACAGTGAGAGAGACAGAGAGAAAGATCTTCCTTTTGCTGTTGGTTCACCCTCCAATGGCCGCCACAGCCAGCGCACTGCGGCCAGCGCACCGCGCTGATCCGATGGCAGGAGCCAGGTACTTCTCCTGGTCTCCCATGGCGTGCAGGGCCCAAGCACTTGGGCCATCCTCCACTGCACTCCCTGGCCACAGCAGAGAGCTGGCCTGGAAGAAGGGCAACCGGGAAAGAATCCGGCGCCCCGACCAGGACTAGAACCTGGTGTGCTGGCGCCGCAAGGTGGAGGATTAGCCTAGTGAGCCGCGGCGCCGGCTTAATGATGTTAATACCAAAGTTCAGACCTTAGATTTCTCCTTTAGTATAGCAAGAACTACAAATGATGCACAATCCACTCTATACAAATGGACACTATCCTTCCTGATGCTTTCATGTTCCTACTCTAAATTTCTACTGGTTGAACATTGCCAGCACAGTGAACAAAGTCTATACATACTTCCAGTATGACAGTCTATGCCTTCTCATAATTTGGCTCCATATAATTTATGGCCTTTTTTCTCATCACATTCCATCCAAGGCATTCATTCATCCACCTCTCCCTCACTCAACATTAACAGATACAAAATTACATTTTAGACACACTGATCTTAAAGGGCCCAAGGCAGATTGGGAAGTGGAGGAAGTTGTATGTACAACTCTGCAGGCCAGAAGACATGTGGAATTCATATCTCAGTGTTGGGTACACCTCAGAATTAGAAAGCTTTTTTTCCCTTATTATTGTTACTCACTTATTTGTTTGACAGGCAGACAGTGAGCACTCTGATTTGCTGGTTTATTCCCCAAATGTTCCCTCTGCAGGGAAGCCAGGAGCCAGGAACTCAATCCAGGTCTCCCACATGGTGGTAAGAACCCAATCAATTAAGCCACCACTGTTGCCAGGGTCTGCATTAGCAGGAAAATGGAGTCAGGAGCCAGAGCGGAGTATCTAATCCAGGTATTCCGATGTGGAATGTAGGTATCATAACCGAAACATGAACCAATAGGCTACACACCCAACCCAGAAAGTTTTCCTGACCCATCCTCAGCCCGTGCTGGAACAATGGAAGTCTACTATCTTTTTATAACACTCATCACATCATTCATTATTTCTTCAGTACTTATCTTCCCCACCAGAAGGTAATATACCTGTCCTCTTTACTGATAAGTCCTTAAGACAGCACACAGTAGGCAATCAATAAATATTTAATGGATGGTAAAATGAATAACATAGATCTGGGAATGGCACCATCACAGGGGAAAAGCAACATTTAAGGAAAGGATGAAAGACAAGTCAACAAAGAAAAAGAAGACTTCCTGTCATTACCACAGGGTCAAATGCTACAAAGAAGACAAAACAGAACTTAAAAGATCAATCAGGTTAAGAAGCCTCAGAGAGGGAAGAGGAAACTCTATGCAAGCTGGAGGGACACAGTGGCAGGCGAGAAAACATAAAACTCAGGACTCCAGCAGTCAAGAGCCTCCACACCAGTGCTGGAGAGTAAGGTGAGACCAGACTGCAGCAGCCCAAACCACTGGTGAAAAAGCTGCAGGAAAAGCCTAGAGAGAATCTGGCTTGGAGCCCATGGGGGATAGTGTACCTGCCAAACGAGAGGAGGAAAAACAAAGGGGGAGCACATTTTCTCTCTCCCTGATCACCGTACAAGGGCATCCTGTAAAAGCTGATAGACAGCAGGCGCCATTTTGGACATATGTAACTGCTACGCCAGCTCGTGTGCAGGCCCAGCAACCACCAAGTGGAGACTCCTGAATCTGGTGGGGAGAACAGATAGGAGGCTAGGTGCTCATGACTGTGTGGGAGGACTCAGGGTGTGACTGGGACTTTGGGTAGTTACCTTGAGAGGCTCTACATGATCAGTGCTCCCTGGTTATCTGGTGAAGGACATTGCTGGGGAATCTTCTGAGATTATACTGAGGACTGCACAGTCCTTGTGTGCTCCTTGTGGCAGAGTGGACAAATAATATGCCCACTGGGGCTAGCGCCTAGGCACTGGTTTCCCTTGGGGAGAGGAGCTCAGTAAGTCTGTGCCAACAAACAAGAACAAAGCTCTCCTCTGATTAGAGAGAGAGGAGATTTTAATGCCAAAGCTGTGTGTGTCACCTCAGACACATTCTTCATCCTGGAGCACAACAGAGCACATTGGCCACACCTACCACACACCTCTAGGTATTCCCTGAAAGAAGACACTCCACAAATCCTCTCAGGCACAGTCAAATAAAAGCCACCACAGTGAAAAAAAACAAAGAAGAAACCAACGAGTATCTCCACAAATACTGAATAACAAATGTGCCAACTCTAGAAAGATTAAGGAAGACAACATGATGCCCCCAAAAGCATACAATACTTCAATACCAGATTGTGAAATGATGAGATTGAAGAAATGCCAAAAATGGAATTCAAATAATTGATCATAGGATTACTTAGAAGTAATCAGAAGCAAAGGCACGAACTAATGAAATCCATGACATGAAAGAAAATTTCTCCCACAAAATAAATCTTAAAGGAAATCAAAATGAAATCTTAGAAATAAAGAATTGAATAGAACACATAAAGAATGAAGTGGAAAGCCTTAACAACAGAAACAGTGAAACAGAAGAAAGAACACCCAACTTAGAAGACAAAACATGGGAAATTATACAGTCAGACCAAACACAAGAAGAAGAAATTAGAAAACTAAAAAACACTGTTGGGGAATCTATATGATACTATCAAATGACCCAACATATGGGTTCTAGGCTTTCCTGAAGC